AAAAAAAAATACCTGGAAGTAAATGGAAAGTTAAATAAAATGCAGCATGGACTTAGCAAAAATAGATTCCGTTTTTGTTTGGTAACATTTTCTAGAAAATAAAAGTTGAGAAAATCTAATCCATTTGGACCTTATTAAAGCATCTGACACAGCAGTGGGAAATTAACAGAGACACTGAAGGGATGGAGAAGAGTAAAAATAATGAAATGTGGATGCAGAATCTATGAGTGAGTAAAACAACAAAAGGATATATTGGAAGGAGAACTATCATGTTCCTATTTCCAGACATTGATTTCTGCTACTGTTGGAGGTGAGGATTTCTCTGGGGTCTCATCTTATTACCCTCAGGGATCTAGCAATAAAGGAGGAACTGCAGCAAGGAAATTTGCATTAGACACCCAGCTGGTCAATGTACTGTCGATGGTTAAGTCCCACAGCGCAGGAAAGCTGGTGATCTTGAGGCCTGGAATAATAGAAGTGCAATGCATTTAATGTATTCAAGGAAGGTATTTGCTTGGTTTTGTGAATCATTTACCCCATGCTATGATAACCTGCAATAAGTATATTCAGTACGCTCAGCAGTGGTGAGGCTTCCGCTGGGATTCTTTGTCCAGTTTTGGGCATCAAACTTAAAGAAAGAGGTGGAGCAGCCAAAAACAACCAGAGGAGGTAAACAAGTACGGTGAGAAATTTAACGAGCGTGTCAGTGAGGAAAGAATTAGAGATGATTAAGCTAAGCAAGAGAGGTTCAAGAGGTCAGAGGGTAACAGTCCTGAAATATGAAAAAGGCTGCCTGCATTACAGGAAAGCAGTAGTCTGTTTTCTATGCCTGCTGCTGATGGGACAAGAAATAATGGAGCAGCCTTAGCCTGCAGTGGGGAGATTTAGTTTAAGCTTCATGAAAACCTTTTTTAATGAAAATTATAATTAAGTACTGGGATAGATTGCTAAGGACACTGCAGAGTAGCCACCTCTGGAAGTTTTTATTGCACAAACGTCTCTCAGGAGTAATTTTGGCGTATTTATTCATTGAGACAAGCAATGGAGTAGTTAATAGATATCACCTTTTCTAGAGTGAATGCCACTCGCGCTGCCTCCTCCTCCTGTTTGTCCTCTTTGGCCCTACAGGGACCACCTCCCACTAGTGAAAGGAACTGATGGTGCTGATGTGACTCCTGATGGTACTCAGGTAAACTAGCTGGCATCAGCCTTCTCCTCATTTCTCAAGCAACGCATATTTAGGACTGCCAATGCCCTCCATCCCTTAGGTGTCGCTTCCTTGCTGAGACTTTGCAGGAAAGTAGTGTGGCCACCAGCTCCACGGGGCAGTGGGTTGAATGGGGAGGCAGCATGGTTAGCAAGGGGTCGGCTTGCTTTGCTGCCAAGAGGTTGATCCATGTAGGGTCACAGGCAAAGTCCAAGGGCTAGAAGCATCCAAAATGCAGAATGGATGCAGATGTTGTCTGAGAGGCTCAGTTCAGGGGCTCAACCCTTGTCTGCAAGGCAAGATTGGGGTAGTGGACACGCCTGTGTCCTGTAAGTACTGGCCAGGACCTTCACAGGGCTGGAGTTACCCAGTGCTGCCCTTCTTCCAGCTCAGCAGGTAAGGAGAGCTGTGCATAATCCCTCATGCTCAGAAAGCCCTCTGTGTCTGCTGTCTGAGGTCAGAGTACGACCCTTGATGAAGGGCTTAAATCCCAGACAAGCCTGCTCTTTCGTTAAGCACAAAGCTACCCTGAGTGCAGGAGGCTGGAAGTGGGGACGGTACCTCCGAGCACAGCTGGCCCTGCTCTCCTGCTGCTCTGTGAGCAGCTGCCCCCAACAGTGGCAGCGGCAGCTCCCCGTATGCCTCCAGGCTGACACAGCAAGGCCCTTCTTATATTTCAGTAATGAGCCTTCCTGGCTGTGAGGCCCACGATTTGGCTTCTCCTAATCTCTCCCAGCTCCATTTTCTATCATTCTTTACTAGTCATGTTTAAGAGTTGAACAGAAAGCAAGCAGCCTACAGATAAACTCTCACATGCAGGCACCTTCTATATTCAAAAACATGGGGGAGTCCAACACCCATTCAGGACTGCACCTCAGAGAGCAAGACAAATCCATTATACGCAGCTGACCTTACTGGATTTGCAGATGTGTGATAACCTCATGTGTCAGATGATTCATTCTCATACAAAATTGCAGAACAGGAGCTCACACACACTCGGGCTCTGTTACGGCTCTGCCGTGCCTGCACAAAACAGGTCCTGAAACTGCAGCTCTGCTGCCACCCAGGTGTTTACCACCTTGCTGCCGAGCTCTGATGAGAGCGATGCCCAGCAACACTGGTGGCAGCGGTAGCTCTACCCTCTAGACCTCCGCAACGGTTGCAGCAGCAGCGGGAGAATTTCAGAGGAGACTCATTATAAATGAAAGCCCAGTTGCTCAATCACGGAGCGGTGATTGAAATCTTGAACCTTAACTCATCTGAGTTAAGCGAGCGTTACTCTCCTCTGACCTGCAAGCTGTGCATTCATTTACACCACACAGAGGGCACCAGGTGCTCCTGGAAAGGCTCCACATCCATTTTACATTGCAGGAACGCATACCAGCGCCCAAAGTGCGGGGCAAAGGGGAACAAGCTAGACAGCCTTCGTTTCATTTACGGAGGCACTACTGCTTATTTCCCAAATAATTTCCCTTGTCTGTAAGCACGAAAATGAGTTCTAAATTGCAGGATACAGTATTTGAAAGTTTATTGCTTCCAGCAGTTGTTTTGTGCTTGCACATATGTTCTTAGATGGGACCCTCTGCTCAGACTACTCAGGGTTTATTGAATGCACAAACTTGGGGGAGGCCAGCTTTGTTTAAAATGGGAGCTTTCATTTCAGGTCTCTTGAAGATATGGTATATAGGTGAGATGCAATTTAAAGGCAACGGCTGGATGTGCATGGGAGGTACTTAAAGGAGAATATGTGTGTTTTACAATAAGGTGAACTGTTTGCAGCATATATAGGATCTCTACGGGAGATTTTCAAAAACTTCAGGGTCCCACTCACTGTCCATTGGACCTGTGTTCCTGTTAGTCCTGTGGATAGTTTTGGAAGTCTTCTTACAGTCTTCTTATATCTTCTTTCATTTGTACAGCTAGACCAGCGTGGGCTTTAACCAGGACCAGGGAATACAATCCGATGGAGCAGTAGTGCTCAGTGTACGCAGGGCTTTTACAGAGCTGTCGCGCTTCTCTCACTTTTCACCGAGGCTTGCCTCAGACCCACAGATGAAGGCTGTATGAGTCACTCCGCGCTCTGACGGCAGAGAGAACTACAGTGCACCCGTACATACACAGATAGTTTTCTGAGTAAGATCTTGTACCTACCTTTTAGAGGGACGAACCAGGCGGGTGACTTTACTGCAGACATCGTTGCAAACCCTGGTGTTCTAGCTATGAGTTCTGTGTAGGATATTCACAAAGTGCCACTAACAACGGGTTTTCTCCTCCACTCGCTTTCCCCCAAAAAAGAGACTGGACTGGCGTATAAATATTGATGAAGAAATACAAAGGAAAGACAGCCACACACTGCTATATTACAGAAAGGTCATGCACATTACACATATGTATAAATAACTTGCCTAAAAAAAAGGAAGAAAAATAAAATTACCTAATGAAGCACATCTTACTATGTCTTACAAACACTGTGAAAAGAGTTCTAGAGCAGATTTTGATTCTTCAAGCTTGTTCAGAGTTGCAGCTTATGAAGAATTTTCTTCTGAAGTTTCAAGTAGTAAAAGTCCAAGGGATTTGCTATAGAGCTACAGATCACATAATAAACTTTCTATAAAATATTTAAAACAGTCAGCCAAACTCTAGAAAAAGAATGTTGTTCTCCGTTAAATACCACAAATTGAATTGGATTCCCAGTTTGGTCAAAGGCAAAATTCCATTGATTTCTGTGGGTCCGGAGTTAGACCTTATTCATTAGTTAATGAATAATTCTATTAAGATATTACTACTATTGATTAATTTGGATCATTTATTAAATTAATTTGTATGGAACTATTTATTTTTCAATGGACTTGTTCCTTTACGTTGTTGCTTATGATGAGTGCATGATCTTATTGTTAAAATTATTGTCTAGCTTGTTCTAATGTGAACTGTGAAAAAATACTATTGCTGTTTATGTTCTTCATGCCTATGAACTATGCTGGTGTGAGTGGGTCTCAGCAAAAATATCATCCTGATTGTAAAAAAGACCCTTATTTAAAAACATATCTATCACAGGGTACCGCAGCAGTGATTGTGGTCTGTGCAATATTGCAAAATGTTTTAATCCGCAAGGAGTTTGCAAGGGAATACTGCTGCTTCTAAAAAGAAGGATGTGAATGAGTTTGACCTATATGGATTACAAAAGAAATATTAACTTTCACCGAAAAGTTGTTATTTAGGATGAACATAGAGCTATGTTTATTCTCTAAAATAAGGGACATTTTTCATGTATTTCAGCTTAACTTCCTCTGCTGAATAAATTCTTCACGCGACCTTCCATTAAACCTACAGTAAATCAATCCCTTAGTGAATGCTTTTCTTTTAAACCATTATTGTCTTGTCCTTTTTCACTGTTATCCCCTCTTTCCCAGGCAGGAAAAAAAAAACAACAAAAACCCCAGCTGCTTAACTCCCTTTTTCTTTGCAATAGTCCAGAATTTCATATCACAGTGGAACTTTAAGCTCTTTATTACCGTTTGACACGTAAAATGCAACCCATAGCAAAGCCACACAACTGAATAGCTATCCCAAGCTGCTATTAAAATAATATTCAGCGTTCACCTTCCATGCATTAAAATAGTCCGTGCTGCAGCATTAGCCACAGCAGAGCCCACTGGGGGTAACTGCAGCTCCAAAACACAGCCCCAACAGCAGCAGTTACAGGGCAGAAGGCAAAGGCAGCTTTCTTTTGGGCAAAGATGAAATCTATCCTGACAGATTGAACGCCTCAAAAATAGGAAAAGGCAGGAGGCATTTAGACATACTGACTTTTGGAGTGTGAGCTTTCAGTCTTCCTGCGCCAATGCTGGCTGTCAGTGGGGTAGTGTGCTGGTGCGGAGTATTTGTAGCTTCTGGTTTTCTCACCACAGCAGCAAAAGCAACAGAATATGGCTCCGGCAGCAAGGAGGCAGAAGGCAGCTGCCCAGCCCAGGTGGAGGGCCTCTCCCAGCTCCCTTTTCTGTGCGACGTTGACCACAGGGTTATAGAAGTCACTGATGATGGTGTTGGCAACCCAGCAGACTGAAATGAGCTCGACAGCACCCGAGAGGATGAAGAGGAGCCCAGCCATCAGAATAGTATAGCCCTTGGCTTGCCAGCTGCTCTGCGTGCACTTCATCCCAATAACAGCAACCACAAAAGCAAGGAAGGAGAGCACCGACCCGGCACACATCAGCCCTCTGGATGCCTGCAGGTCCAGCGAGAGGGCCAGCACAGAGTTGTAGACCTTGCACTGCAACCTGATGTTGACTTGCCTGATGCAGTGCATCCACAGGCCTTCCCAAATGGTCTCAAACACGATGATGTTGTTCTCGATGAAGGCAGACACCCTCCACTGAGGCATGCCCGTGACAGCGAATGTCCCGATCATGCCAATGCCACCAACAAGCAGCCCCGCAAGCTGCAAGGCGCCACCGACCATGTTGCCTTTGCAAGGTGAGCACACCTCAGCAGGTTCCCTCAGCCAGGCACACACTGCTGGCAAAAAAAAAAAAAAGAGCAACTTTTTCTGAGAGTAGCTGTCCCTTGTGCAAAGAAAGTTTCAGAGTCAGTCTGCGCAACTGTAAATCAGCTTAGATCTGGCAAGCGCTACCTGGGACTTGGCTGCACCTCCATCACCTTTACAATTCCCCTGCCACCACTGACTCAAAGAGGCAAACTGAGCAATCAAGTGGAACAACTTTCCAAAGCAAGAGAAAGGACAGGGTGTGTGTAAACCAGTGAGAGCCACTTAGGATAAATGTACCTTCTGAGGAAAATGCTTTGCATTGAAGTTGCTTATTTAAAAAAAAAAAAAAGCAAGCCCTACCCTTAACTCTAGCTGTTGTCTGCTTGTGTTAAGGAAACAGACTGGTCTCAGTAGGGAGACTTAGGTGTGCACTGGTGCAGCTACTGAAGCTGTTGCACTGAGCAAGCAAGAATATTCTGCCTCGCCTCAGCTCGGTGGCAAATTGCCAGGAGGAAAGCAGAGCCCCGCTCCCTGCCACGGGGCCTCTGCTCCCAAAAGTACGTTTGTTCTGAAGCCTGAAGGCGAATACTGCAGGGACAGGCTCAAGGAACAAAGCAAATGAAAAGGATAAAGATAAAGTAACTCTGAACCTGAAACAGTTCTGCAGAGGATAATCAAAGCTGCCAAGACCGTGTAAGAGGTAGAATGAACAATAAGAGGCCTCAATCTTGCTAATACCTGTATACATATATAGCTTTATACATTTCTGTTCCTCTACTAAGCATTATGGGCACAGGCAGGCTTCTGGAGGTGTCCACATGCTTAAACGATTGCACAGTCAGACCTACAGAATGGTGATTTAAGCTATGTAGCAAATTGTTTTCCTGTGCAAAAGTGAACCCAGCAATTACCCTATGATGGAGTCTAGTACTACAGAAAGCATTGGCTTTCCAGGTAAAGACCTATTAGAGCTATCCATGTACTAACAAATACTTTAGAAAAACATCATTTTAATTATTAAAAAAAAAACCATAGTCATGGAGAGCAGGTGAACTGTACATTCAAGAATTCTTGTGTGATGTGACCAGCAAACAATCCCAGAAAATGTCAGGTGAAGAAATTTGGGAAAGTCAGAGCAACAGAAACCACAGTCAAAAACCTAGAAAAAATCCCAGGCATGTAACAGTGGATTCTTTTTATACATTCATATAGCTATGAAGGTAAGTGTGAAATATTCAGCCTGACCTCTACATGTACCTTAACATGGAAAATAAAAAGTCAGGCATAAACTAGGATTTTTTGTTATAAAGTAGCATTTCATATGTTAAGACAAGAACTAATTTGTTACACTGTAAAAGATCTCTTTAGGATATAATTAGCTAGATATTGAAATACTGGTCTCCTGCTATTCATTTGAACTTTCTTGCCTCTATTTCTTTTCTTGTAATTTATATATCTTCAAAAATAGAACATAAATGCAAAAAAAATAGAGCAGTGCAGTGCTAAATATGCCAGCTTGTTGGCATATCAAAGATAGAGAAAAGATAAAAGTCCCATTTACATGTAATTTTTTTATGCTCCCTAAGTGTGTTCCCATGCGTGTGCATAAGACCATGGTTAGGAGGCAAGGGAAAGTGAGAAGCACTCTACAAATCTTTCCATATTCAGCTTGGTTTTCATATCCACCTGCTTCTCCAACCTCTGCAGCAGGCTGCTGCTTATAAAGACATGCTGAAAGGATGAAGGCAGGTAACATCTCCTTCTGTTTCTGGTCCCTTGAGCCCTGATTTGTGGCCAGGCAACTTTCCATTATGCCCTTTTAGCTTTGTTTATATCTCTGAAATCAAACCCGCTGCCTGCACGCCTTTCCTAATCCAAAGGTACTGAGTGCCTTGCCCTGAAAAGTGCAGTTAGTCTGATGGCAGGTCCAAAAGCGTTTTAAGAGATGAGAAGCTGGTTTTTTGGGTTTGCTCCTACTGCTGCGGTGCTCAGCGGTATCTGATCCCACTGCAATTGCACTGCCTGCTCTGCATTTCTCCTGCCATACATTTGCATTTGCAATTTTGGCTCCTGCTTGCCATCAGTCAGCCTCCCTCAGCAGTTCAAGCCCTTTTACCATGTCCATGAGGAAGACAAAGGAGGGGCCCTACAGCTTCCCAAGTCGGGGACCATGACCGCCAGGTGAGCAGATGGCTCATGCTATTTTTGGCTGCCCCTGGGCTTTACACTCTGCAGCCCCATGCCTCTGCGCCCTGCTGTGCTCCTTGCCTTGCTGGCCTGGGTGCACAGGGCCATGGGCAGTGCCCTCTGCCCGAAGGTGGAGTGCGCTGCAGGTGCCAGGGTGCTGGGGGTGATAGCTCTCCTCCTGCCACAACCCCTGGTCTCCTGTGAAGGGCGTCATTTTCTGGCCAGCAATAAAGGGCGACTGATTCTGTTGGGCAGAATGTGTACGTTCCGCTCTGGAGGGGCGGGGGTGCGGGGGGTGATGCCTCCCCCCCTGCCACAACCCCTGGTCTCCTGTGAAGGGCGTCATTTTCTGGCCAGCAATAAAGGGCGACTGATTCTGTTGGGCAGAATGTGTACGTTCCCAATGCATTAATCGGGAGAGGCCACACTCACTCTTACCGTATTTATGTAAGAACTGTATAGACTGCTATAGCATGAGGGAGTCTGGATCTGTGTAACTGAAATCACCATTTGCTGCTTTGCGCGCTGCAAACTATCCTGTCATACAGACCCGTAAGCAATGGGAGTCGGGGTAGAGGACTTTGGGAAAACCGAATGGGGAAAACTCCTTGGATGCTGGAATCATGGAATAATCACGGAGTAATTCAAATTAGAAGGAGCCTCTGGAAGTCTTCTAATCCAACCCATGCATGAGGCTGTGCCCTTCAAAGTCACAAGGCTAAGAATTCAATCGAGATCCATTTCAGTCATCAAAGAAAGTCCCAGAGATTTCTTGGGGGAAGAGGGTGGTTAAATCTCATTGTCCCAAGGGTAAGACAAGGAGAATTTTGAGGAGAGGCCATACATGCACAGTATTTCTCTGCTAAAATGGATTTGGAATATTAAATATATAATAATGTGATTATCATTGCATGACTTTGCAGCCCCATCGTTGCCACTCAAACAGCAAAGAAAAAGCTACCAGCCTGTAGCAGAACAAATAAACAAGCACGCTAATAACATATCGGTAAGTAAACACAAGTGTGATACAAGCAGCAGGACTGGTTTTTCTTAGAGACTACTGAAGTTCTAATTTACAGGACATGGAAAATAATTAGCTGAGCAAATATAATTTAACCACGTTATTGATTAATTTACAAAACCATTAAATCTCCCATATAAATTCATGGTAAGATTGCGTCTGCATCGAGGATTCAGTATTTTCACGTTCTTAGAAGGATTAAATTCTAGTGCCTTATCTTGCTTAAAACCATTTTCAGAAGGAAATGTGGGGAAATCTTATTTAGCATTATGGATTGCATCTGCTTGTTTACAATTAAAACACAGGAAGGGGGCAAGTCAAGAACCTCATTCATTCTTCTCTGTATTCAAACATGCCATTTCATTACAGGGAAATATCAGAAATACCTGTGATTAGCTAATCATATTTCACTGTTGGTCACAGGGTCCTATTATTTTGTTATAAAACAAATATGCACATACATAATTTAACCATTTCTCTCTTTTCTTTTTTCTCTTCTCTCTTCTCTTCTCTTCTCTTCTCTTTTAACCCCGTGGTTAAGGAATCACTAACCTTAAAGTCAGTATCAAGCTTTTCTGTATGACCTGTGTATTTTCCTGCTCAGTGTTCCCAGCTCTGCCCTCCTCCCCTTTCTCCTCTCCAGCACAGGTGAGTAAGTCAACTGCAGGCATCCGTTGTTCTATATTCTTGGTGAATAATGTGGACCTAAAGCAACTACAGTACTGCCTGAGCAGAAAATAAGTAACATTTCAGGACTGAGCTTGGTTGGTCTGTCTGTTAGCTTCAAACAGGACCCCACAGTCAGGACATTTTGCTTCCCTGTTTCTTTGATGCTTTGGTAGTAGCTTTCCCCAATGAATTCCCTCGTGTGAGAGCAAGAAGGGATTTCTCACCCTTCTTACATGGCTTTTCTTCTGAATGCTGCTCGCAGTTTGGAGGGGAGGGGAGGGGAGGGGAGGGGAGGAGATAACCCCGTGATTAGCTCAGCTGCCAGTTAGCACCACTTCTCACAGCTTCTCGGGAACCCACTGCTCCCCACTGGGGCAGTAGAGCCCCCAGGTCCCTGTCATGACCCATTTTCAGCCACTAAAGATGTTTTGGAATAAAATACACCAGGAAACTATGTTTTAAGCATAATGTCCTTCCCCTTCCTGAGCATATAGCATTTCTTAATTCCAGAGTTGTGAAGTGCTAACAGCAATCACTGATGCTGAGGGGGAGGTGGGGAGAGGGGGAAGAAGTGGTTGCTCGACACCTCCAAAAATCTCACCCTGCATCAGTAGCACATTGAAAAGAATCCTGATTATTGATGCTCTTATGGAAAAACAGAGGAGTGTTGATGTCAGACAAGTTGTTCAGCATTTTCTTTCTTGGAAGGCTGTTATTACTGTGTCAGTGGATGTGCACTGTTCTTCGGCTCGCCCCAGGTATACCATAACCTGGCATTTCTTTTTCTCCAAGATCTTTTACCTAATGCAACAGAACATGAAAAGCCAGTTCAACATATCCAGTGCAAGCAGGAAAAGTCACATATGTTAATAATCAGCTTCACTGAAGATCCACTTCTTTTCAGCTGAGGTAGCTGTTACCCCTGTACCTTCTCTCTCCATCGCTTACCACTAACAGGAGACCATTACCCAGATGGCAAAAGGGACAATGACAGAAGTACGAAAAATAGTAATCCTTGGCTAGTAATGTAACAGCATTGCAGAAAAACTTTTTGCCTAATATCCCAAATAACTTTACACATTTGCTTCTCCTGCTC